TCCGAAGCCCTGTGACCACGACCGCCAGCCCCCAGGGGGAAGGTGATGCTGCAGGTGGTGGGCTTACCTTCTCTGATGTCTGGTAAGGTACAGGCAGGGAGGTTAGCTCTGCGTCCATCCGGGAGCTGGAGCTTCTAAATCCTCAGACCTGGTTCTGGCCCATCACTCTCCTCACCCACCCTGCCTTACAACGAGACAAGCCGGAATGGGCCCGGCGGTCATTTTTGACATGAATTAGTCTTGGTTTCATGGGTTTTTTGGTTTTTTGGGGTTTTGTTGTTCTTGGGTTTTTTTGTTTTGTTTTGTTTCGTTTTTGAGAACATTTTGGTTCATTTGGAACCATGGACTTTGGCAAAAGCGTCAGTCTGATCATCCAGTTACCTGTCCTATTCCTCCCCTGTTCGTTTTCCTGTCTTCTGTTTACGTTGATGCTATCTAAGTTTTGCTGATGATGATCTGGCCTGGTCTTTCTTCGGGTTCCTTCAGTTTGCCTCATTTTGTTCCACGGGCAGCCTGATCTGTGTTTGGTAACTAACTCTGTGTGTGCATGTGTGTGTGTATTTCTACGTGCACACACACGTTTAGTGGGCAGCAAACATCTTTCCTTCTCTCTGCATTAAACTGGACCGTATTTTATGTGTTGTGATGGCTGTGTTCTCTGCAGCGTGTAAGCTGTCCGGGGGAACCCTCACTTACCCTGGGACCTGGTCTGATTTCAACGGAGGGAGTAGGACCTCGAGACTTCACTTTAAGCCTTTGACACAAATAAGTCTTGGATTCTCGGAAGAACTTCCGTTTGGTTCCCAGTATTGTTTTGTGGAAGAAAATGGTTTTTGACCACGGGGCCCTCTCTTACCTGCACAGTGTCTCCTCTGAGATACACACGGTCATCAGCAGAAGAAATGACAGGTGCATGACAGGTCCCACTGAGTAATGATTTCCGATCTTGGCTGCACATGAAAACCATCTAAACGATTGACGAGTTGGGGCCCCACGCACTGAGGGCCTGATTCCGGGGGGGTGGTTCTGCAATAGGGCGCAGGCATGGAGTTCAGAGCCTTCTAGATGAGCCTCATATGCCACCAGGATGAAAGCAGCCTCCCCGGGACGTGGCACGCGGCTTTCTTGTGAATATCTGCAAACAAGTTGAAAGCCTGCGATACCCCTCCAGACCCATCCGGGTCTCAGGTTTTGATGGGGTGACCCGCCTGCATTATCCGCCTAGGTTTCAGTACAGAAGACGGATCCTTTCTGCTTTCTGTCATGGGTGATCCTGTCTGGTCAGGTTCTCGGAGGCTTGTCCTGAGGGCAGTTCTCATGGCGGTAAGCCTATGTCTTCCTGAGACTTGCCTCTCCAAGCCTAGCCCCATTGGCATCGCAAGCACCCGATGGTGACGTGTGCCACGAACTGTGGAAGAGATGCCCCTTCCTGCCCACCTGATGAAGAGGGAAGGAGGGGACCAGGGTTCGGGGCCACTGTTCCCACCATCGCTCAGATTCCGGGCCCCATTTAATGCAGCTAACTGCCGGAGAATGTGAACCTAAGAGGTCTATTGTTTTGAAATCTGACTCATATTTGAATAACTGTGATCGTAGTCATCTGATTCTAGCACTGAAATGCCTGTGATTAAGATCCTAATCTATGGGGGGGGGGGGTTGGAATACAGGTGTCTGTTTAAAGAGAGGACAGGTGTGTGCCTCTGGGACCTCTTCATTGGAAGGGGCCACGACAAGAGGAAGGAGAGGCCTCAGGGGCGCTGAGTCTCCGTCCCAACTGTCCATCTGCAGGCCGGTGACCTGCTTCCACGTGAGCCACCTCTCCCCTTCGGCCTGTTTCTTCATTAGTCAATGGGGGATTTGCAAGACCTACCTCAAAGGCTCGTTGTATGGATTAAATCAGATAATGTGTGCAGAAGTTTCTCTGCAAGCTCCCAAGCACCATATAATTATTAGCTGTGACTATCAGTTTGAGAAACTGGCTTTCATAATGAGCGGCTCAATTAAGCTGCCACCTCCCTGCTGGCTGGGGAAGCCAGCCTGGGGCTGCAGGGAGGGGCACGCAGGGCCCACGCACGAGCGGTCTTGCCCTTGGCCATGTCCTGATCCTTTTTTCTTGGAACCCCTTGTGCCCAGAGAGGTTTTGAGTGTTGGGGCAGGATACCGCTCTGGTAAAGGGGCCCAGGAAGAGAATGGGAAAGACTTTTTGTTCCAGGACCTGGGGGTCAGGGGAGCCGAGCAGCCAAAGGGGGAAAAGGAGACTTGCCTGTAAGCTGCCAAAAGGTTCGGTGCCGGGGACTCTCCACACAGTTGCCAAGCCGTGTTCCCCACCGAGTGGACCCACAGGGGTATGCTGGGGAGCTGTTGGCTCTGAGCCCAGTGCCCGCCATGAAGAGCCCCTGGAGGCCAGCGGAGGAGGCTCAGGGGGCATTGGGGGAAATGATGGAGAAACCCAGTTGTGCATCTCACCCATCCGCCACTCAGAGCAAGCAAGCAAGCACGCCGAGGGGACAGCAGCCCAGAGCCTCCCGCGGGCAAGGGCTGAGCAGTCTCTGTCTCTCAGCGCGAGTCCCCTGGCTATCGTTTGCACAAAGAAAGACCTGGGGCCCCTTGAGTGCTCTCTGACACACACGGGTGCAAATTCCAGACCATTCTAGGGAGAGGGCTCCCTTGGAACTGGTACCCAGAATGGCTTGGGTGCCCCGGGGGCTGTCAGGCTCGGGAAATCTGTCCACAGTTCAGGGAATTGGACTAGAGGACAGTGAGGCTCTCCCATTTCCTTTTTTACCAGTTTTCTTCCTTGTTTTCTTACTCCCGGTGGATCGTGCTCCCTCATGTCCTTTCCTGGGTGCAGTGAACAGAAGATAATTGCTACCATTTTCTTGACACCAGCTAGCTACCAGGCTCCGTACCAATGCTGGCTGGACAGTCCTCTCAGAACCTTAGGGTGGTCGACATCATCATTTTCCCCATGGTTCAGAGGAGCAAACTGAGGTTCGGGCGGGTAAGGGGACCTATCCAGGGTCACACACAATCAGTCAGTGGGGATGCCGCGTCGAACCCAGCAGCCTGACTTCAAAGCCCATGCTGGGTCAGACAGACTCTCTGAGGATAGACCCTGCACCTGCCCCCTTGTAGGAGCTGCGGAGAACTTGGGGGGTTGGATTTCTTCTAGTCGTGGTGGTAGCACTCTGATTCTGAATATTCAACTCCTGTAGACTGTGGTGGCAGATGGCTTAACGTGGGGAAAAAACCTTGGGACTTTATCAGACTCGCCCTGCTTTTGGGTGAAACGCAAAATCAGTTGAGAGCCAGGAACTCTGTTTAATCCTCGCTCACATTAGCCCGACGAGACTGCTCCGTTCACCTAAGTGGTTAATGGGCAAAGTGGGTCAATCCAGCTTTAGCGTAAGTCGGGGATGGCTCTGGCACTGCGAGGCCGTCTTCCTTAAGGGAAAAACCTTCCTCTAACTTGCTGGGAAGAGGGAGCTCCCCCGGCGTGTGGCCCCCTTCTGGCTCGTGCGATAGAACTTTGGATCATCATCTCCATAAACGTGCTCAGGAGAAGAGTTGTGGTCTCAGTAGATTAGGGGTGGCTCGAAGCTGGAAGTTTCGGATGTCCTACCGAGAGGTAAATATTTGGTCAGAAATGATGTGGAAATTGTCTTTTTTTTTTTTTAATTCCCAGGCCCATAGAGGAAGCAGTCAGAAACTGCTAAATCCCATAGTTAGTGGAAGATCGTGCATCCGTGACCAAAACTTAGTCTCCAGTTAGTTTGTCCTACCAGGTGCTGTAAACTGCGGATTGAACACCATAATGCTGATAACCATCATCGTGGTAGCAAAGCTAGTAAATATCAGTTACAGACCACATGTCCGGCATGTTCTGATCATAGTATGATCCTTGTTTTACTCCTCATTAAACTTCCATGATGGAGGTACTATCCCTTTCGCTTTTACAGAGGAGGAAGAGAAGCCCAGAGAGGTTAAGAAAGGTATTCAAAGTCACACAGCTTATGTGCGGCAAAGCTGGGATTTGAACCCAGGTGGTTTGATGTCTGAGGCCTCTTCCCTTATCTGTTAGCTTTACACATAACCACTGAATGAAGCAGGTGGACGCTCTTCCCGTTTCGCATGGTAGAATGCTCAAGTTCAAGAGAGCAAATAAGGAACAACCTTCCACCATCCGATTGTGTTGCTGTCCGTGCTCACTCACGGCCTTCTGGCGTGGGGATCATGGCCCGCGTTTCCTGTCGGTCCTAACAGTATTGTCTGCATACTTCGGCTTAGATGAATGCAGTGATCGAGATCATACAAGTCTTTTTTTTTTTTTTTTTAATGGAGTCTAAAGTATTTTTGGAAGCTTCTAGAGTTGGGTCTTGGGGATTTCCTCTTGGCAGGTTTGTATCACTTTATGCTCCCATCTGATTTCACCTGGTTTTGGTGACCTTCGGGTGTGCTTTTCGCAGTAAAGGCATTTTGTCGGCGGTCACTGTGTTGAAGCCTGGGGGCGGGGGGGACATCTTCCTTCCCGTTCCCAGCGCATGCGGGCCCAGGCTTGGTGAACGCGTGGAGTCAGGCTGGTGAGGACTCCTGGGCAGCAAAATCTCTGGGAGCCCGACATGCTGCTGTTAGGAAGGGCACATAGCCAGAGGTCAAGGACCTTTGTGTTCTGACATCGTATGTCTAGGGCAGTTTAAACACTGGATACCGGGAAAAATAAGGGAGAGGTGGCCCCCGCGAGGGGATTTAGAGAAACTCCTATTTCACTGTTTCTACCTTGGAGGAAGGTGCCTTCCTGTTGCACATAGAGAGTATCTGGCCTCCAAGCTTCAGATGGGACGTTAATGCGCCTTTCAGCTCTGAAATTCCTTTTACATGTTTTCACATCTCTATCACCGTTCCCCGTAATAAGAGAGAGCGAGGATGAGTGTTGCCGTTGACACGTGTGGCCAAAGAGGTGTCGGCTTCTGAGCTGACTTCGCTCTGCTTGCTTTCCTCAGGGACCTGATGCCGAGGACCCTGGAGGGGCAGATCACCATGGAGAAGACACCCAGTTACTTCGTCACCCGCGAAGCGCCCGCGCGCATCTCGGCCATGTCCAAGGACACCAAGCTCATCGTGGTGGTGCGGGACCCGGTGACCCGAGCCATCTCGGACTACACGCAGACGCTGTCCAAGCGGCCCGACATCCCCACCTTCGAGAGCTTGACGTTCAAGAACCGCACGACGGGCCTCATCGACACGTCGTGGAGCGCCATCCAGATCGGCATCTACGCCAAGCACCTGGAGCACTGGCTGCATCACTTCCCCATCGGCCAGATGCTCTTCGTGAGCGGGGAGCGGCTCATCAGCGACCCGGCCGGCGAGCTGGGCCGCGTGCAGGACTTCCTGGGCCTCAAGAGGATCATCACCGACAAGCACTTCTACTTCAACAAGACCAAGGGCTTCCCCTGCCTCAAGAAGGCCGAGGGCAGCAGCAAGCCCCACTGCCTGGGCAAGACCAAGGGCAGGACCCACCCCGCGATCGACCGCGAGGTGGTGCGCAGGCTGCGCAAATTCTATCGGCCGTTCAACTTGAAGTTCTACCAGATGACCGGCCAGGACTTCGGCTGGGATTGATCGACCCCCGGGCCGTGTGACTTACCACTCGGCTTATGTATCGAGAGAGGTTATATGTATGTAAAATGTACAGAAATCTATTTTATAATAATTTATTTTTAATTCATAAGCAATTAACTCACTCAGCTGCCTAGCCACACTCTTTAGAGAGTTAGTCTCATAATCTGTTAACATTCCAAAGTGTTTAATCTTTTCTTTTCTTCATGATTGATGGTGCTTCCGTCCCCCCCCCCCCCCTGCCCCTACCCATTCTATTTAAAAAGAAGAAAAGCACAACTTGAGATTTTTGTTGTTACGGGTACGCAGCCTTCAGTCGCTGTCTGAGTTCACTTGCCATCTCCCTGTGTCTTGGGTCTTGTAGTCCAGCTGCCATTCCTCCCTCCCTGCCCTCGTACCTCCGAGGAGCGCCCAGCTGCCCCAGCAGCTCGGCTCCCTCAAGGTCATGTCTCGTGTAGCATCCTCCTGCCCGTGTGTCGACATTTCGAAGGACGTAGAGGCCAGACCACAGCGCTAGGCTTTCCGCCCCGAGTCTACTCAGCTCGCGGGGGGGTCACTACCTTGGTAGGGACACGCGCCTCCTCTCTGGAGTCTGCGTCCCAGGGTCCGTTTACTTCAGCTCATGATTTTGAGAGAGAGCCCTGCGTCCCCTTCTGCCCCGGTCCCTGGTTCTTAAAGCTGCTTGAAGCGTATGCAGATGTTATAGCCCCTCTTTCCCAGGTCACGTGTGTGAGATGCTTGGGTGCTGCTTTAGAACTAAAGACGACCTCTCCTTTGCACGAGTGCACCGTGCTCGGTCCTCCAGGCCGACAGTTCTGCTCTGACGCACCAAAGAATCCCCTAGGCTAGCAGAACCATCAGCACAAACCCGCAGGTGCCGGGTGTCCAGACCCAGAGGGCTCAGGTGCATCCCACGCCCTCAGAGCCCCCCAAGGTGCTGCTGGGTGCCGAGCCAGCCCGTGTGGGGCACATCCCAGTAGTAGGCGGACCACCTCAGTGGGGAGAAAAGCCAAAAGAGCACCAGAAGGACAGGCGGCCTGGCAGAAGAAGCAAGTCCCTGGCCCCCTGCTTGATGTCTGGAACTCGCCTCCTTGGAATTCCTAGCTCATCACAGACTGACAGCACAGTCTGTCGCCAACAGCCAGACAGCGAGCAACAGGAGTGGCTCTTGCAGAGACAAGCTGGGGGAAGAACGTTGTTGACTGGCGGCCGCCGAACCTAACGATTATGAAGATGTCCCTTGTTTGAGCTAGGTCCCAGGAGAAGGGTCTCCAGTATTGTCGCTGCTGATTGCAGAATGCTCTCCCCTCCATCCCTCTCTGTTGAGAGAGCAGTTGGAGATTATTTTTGACGGTCAGCTTGTGGCAGTCGGGGTCACCATATAGCAATATCACAGAATGAACATGTTCACTGTATCCTGTTTTCTAAACCGGAATGCTTCTACCATAGAAGAATTTTCATTTGAGTTATAGTTGCACCAGGGCTTATGTGGGAAGACACACACATTGTCCAAGTGGTTGGGGTGTGATATTTACGAAGACAAGAATTTTCATTTGAGTTATAGTTGCACCAGGGCTTATGTGGGAAGACACACACATTGTCCAAATGGTTGGGGTGTGATATTTACGAAGACAAGAATTTTCATTTTGAGTTATAGTTGCACCAGGGCTTATGTGGGAAGACGCACACATTGGCCAAATGGTTGGGGTGTGATATTTACAAAGGCAAGAATTTTCATTTTGAGTTATAGTTGTACCAAGGCTTATGTGGGAAGACATACACATTGTCCAAATGGTTGGGGCGTGATATTTAAGAAGACACTCTTGTACATTGGATGGGATAGAACTTGCCCCGTTGAGCAAGAAAATTTGTATGAAAAGAGAGAGAAAAAATTCATCTTTCAAAACGGATCACCATGTCACCGGTCCTTGAGTGATGTCGTTTGGTAATTGGTTTGTATTCGCCTACAAGTTTGAGCCCAGACATAGCTCGCTCACACTGAGCAGCAAAACAATCAGGATCATCGTGTAGGTTCTGGGCAGGAGGATGGGCACTGGGGCTCCATGCATTATTCCCCAGATGCTCTGTTCATTTCAGAGCTTAATGACTGCCTCTACCAAGTAGTACAGAAGCTGCCTTTAGGGGAATACCATAATCCTAGCACGGTTCTCCCTTCTTGCTGCTTGGGCGTCCAGACATCTGCATAAGGGTACTCTAAGGGGTTGTACGTTTTTGCGGTCAGAAAGCTCATTTGTAATAAAACGGAGAATGCTTCTTTCCAGTTACAACGTAACATCGCTTAAAGTAAAAGTCAGGATCCACAACCTCCACGGAACCCCGCGCTGACCACTTTCTGGCCACTTTTCGTGCCCTGATACGGCTCGTGATGTAGAATTGCAGAAAAAGCGCAGCGAAGGGTGTGCAGTAGGAAAACATGCGTACGTTTTTCCTTCCCTTCGGGTCCCTGTTGTCTTTCTAAGCTGGACAGTTTTGATTAAGTTGTTTATCCCCTGCCTTACAACTGAAACAGGAAATCTCCAGATAGAAGGAGGGTCACTGAGTCATGAACACTGGAGTCAAGATTCTATTCTGGGTCAAATCCTCGAATCCAAACAGATGTTGATAATTGGCAAGGACAGACTAGAGTACGTTTTCCTGTAGAAGATAAATAAATGAAGACTTCCATGCATCTCTTCATAGGGGTCTGATAGCTTACAGTTCCCGACCCCCACAGAAGCGGCATCTGCCCCACGGTTACACCCCGTCATGTGATAGTTATTATTGAGCCGGGGCGCATATGTCCTCCCACAGAAGTTAAGCAACACGTACAATTCAGCCTTGAGTTTCTTCCTGTTCTAGCAATCTCCAAGGCCACCAGCTCAAGTTCTTAGCTGCTAGAAGACAAACACCGGTTTGTGTTTTGGCACTTTGTCCCTATGCACGCTTTGGGTTTTTTCCAGTTTACAGGGAAAACTGATAATTCACTGGGGGTACTTTATTCCTCTCCGTTTCATTTGCTTGTTAAAAAGATTAACAAACAAAAAAAAGAAATTGGAGGTTTTTATTGTCCCTGTCTACCCCATGCTTGCTTTGAGGTGTTTGGTAACTTGGGAGGTGGTACCTGGAAAGGTATTTAGGATATAGTGACTGCATAATAAATACTTGGATGACGGAGGAAGAGACATTGTCTTTTTCACGGGATTCTCTTCGGAAGTCATTTTGAGTGACAGATACATTTTAGGCCTTTGGAGAAACAGTTTCAGATCCTGCCAGGATATTTACATAAGAAAGGAAAATGGAAGGTTCCAGTAGACTAGAAATACTTAGCATGTATCTCAAACGCTGACACAGACGTCCGTGTGATTTTTCTTTTTCAGTTTCTCAAGAAGGATGGTCAATTAAACTGAAAGGTGTGGTTAGATGTTTTTTTTTCACTTTTGTAACATTAATTTATGACTGAGTTCATTCAGCCCAGTAATCTGAAATACGGTGCAAATTCTAGCCGTGTGTCTTCTATAACCTGGATGTTAGAATAGCCAATATGTACAAAAAGAATTAAAACAAGTATTTTGTTCTATGTATAACACAAATTAATTTTACACAGAGAAAGATGTTTCTAGGAAAAAGAAATTCTGGTAATTCATACTATTTCTTTGTATGAACAAATAAAATCTATTTTACCAACTTGTGGGTGCTCTTCTGTTTTGTTGTGTGTTGTGGATGGACAAGGGGTGCTGAGTCCATAACTGACCACATGCCTGGGTGCGCACAGGGAGTCATTCTGGGGAGGGCAGGCTGATCTTGCAGATTTCAAAATGTAACTAACCTGCAGATATTCGGGGCAATTTTTTGTAAAGGACTCTGAAGGCTGTGAGATCAGTGGGAAGGCCCCTGCCCCCTTGGAGGAGCATGCAAAGAACTTCCAAGAACACCAAGGTCGCCATATCCTGCAGGCTCTCCGTGCCTCAGGCTCTAGCCTGGCTGGTGGTGGGAGCTGCCCTGTGCCGTGTGTACCACAAGTATGACCAAGCAGAGCATTGATAGCTGGGCTATTTGGATAATGGTAACATTCTCATCTCACATAAACAGTTGTATGGGAGACCCTTATCCTTGAGACATAGTTGAAAGTGTTTAGACAGGACGATGTTTCCATGTCTATAGCCCACAGCAAGAGATCTTCTGTTTCTTTTGATGGGACACACTCTCTGTACGATGATTATTTACTCTCTTTTAAGATTGATTTATTTGAGGGGTGCCTGGGTGGCTCAGTCGTTAAGCATCTGCCTTCGGCTCAGGTCATGATCCCAGGTTCCTGGGATCGAATCCCACATCGGGCTCCCTGCTCAGCGGGAAGCCTGCTTCTCCCTCTCCCTCTCCCCCTGCTAGTGTTCCCTCTCTCGCTGTGTGTCTCTCTGTCAAATAAATAAAATCTTTAAAAAAAAAAAAAAAGATTGATTTATTTGACAGTGCACGAGTGGGGAGGAGAGGGAGAGTGGGGGAGGGAGAAGCAGGCTCCCAGACTAGATCCCAGGACCTTGGGATCATGACCTGCGCTGAAGGCAGACGTTTAATCGACTGAGCCACCCAGGCACCCTGATTATTTACTATCACAAACGTTTGATCCATTCTTGAGTTTTCCTTAATTTTTGTTTTCAATTTTCCATTGAGATTTAATTTGGTCTATCTTTGGTTGAGGTTTAGAGTAGCTGACGCCAAATTGATCGATTAAGGCTCAAACCCGAGAGTTCCGACTTCATGTTTCTGAAACCACTCCACTGAGGTATGATTGGCTTACAAAAAGTGTGCATGTTTAATGTATGTAACCCAATGAGTTCCATGGTAAAAATTCACTCATAAAATCATCAGCACTCTCAGTGCCATAATACGTCCACCTGTTCCAAAAATTTCCTCCTGCCATCTTATTTTTTTTTGTGATAAGAACATTTCACCTAAGATCCACCCTCTCAGCAAACTTAAGTATTTAGTATAAGTGTTGGTAACACTAGGCACTAGGGTATACATTTTCCCCGGGACTTAATTCATCCTGTATAACTAGAACTTTGATTTTGCTTAATTTAAAAAGGGAATCTATTACAATCTTAGGTGAAAAGCCATTATTTCTTGCCATAAAGAGGAGGTAATCAAAAAAAGTAAGTACAGGGCGCCTGGGTGGCTCAGTTGGTTAAGCGACTGCCTTCGGCTCAGGTCATGATCCTGGAGTCCCGGGGATCGAGTCCCGCATCGGGCTCCCTGCTCGGCAGGGAGTCTGCTTCTCCCTCTGACCCTCCTCCCTCTCATTCTCTCTGTCTCAAATAAATAAATAAAATCTTAAAAAAAAAAAAAGTAAGTACAATGAAAATAAATCCTTGCTAGTAATTTCTAGCTAGATCTAACTCAAGCCAGGTTTGCCGTAGGCTCTCACCCATTGCTCCTGGCGATGGTCACTCCTGGCAAAGACTAGCACTTAGCAAATTACCATCTTGCCTTGAAGGGTGGAGAAGAATTGAAGAGGGTATGAGTTACCCAATGCTACTTGGTGTTGAGTCTGTGAATGCCTAAAATGGGAGCACCCCCCCAAATCATCTCCGGTAGTACTCTGGGTTTTCTCGCATTTTGGAAAACACTTGTGATTCACACCAAGAAAACATCTTGCACAGAGGCCCAGAGTTGGAAGTCAGCCTAGCATTCTGGGAAGGCCGTGAAAAAAACACCCCACCCAAGCGAAGGACTCTAGCGGGTCAGGGGGGGAACAAATCATTAACATTTGGTTTTCAACAGCCAGCATCCTTACGGAGAACAGCTCCCTCAAACCTAGGTATATGCCACTATGTGAAGTGAGCCTTGAATGTCGACCTGACTTTATATCCATCCCACTGATTCTCTGCTTTTTCTACAGAAAGGTAATAAAATGGACCTAAAATCTACTCATTAACCAGAGAGCAGTTTAGAGCAGTTGTTCTCAAGTTTGGGCAAATAACTGCACGATGCCACTTACACCTGTGGAATCTAAAAGAGACAAATTCAGAGAAACAAGAGTAGAGTGGTGGTTACCGGGGGTTGGGGTGGGGGGAGAAATGGAGAAATACTGGTCAAAGGGAACAAACTTCCAGTTATAAGATTAACACGTTTGGGGATGTAATGTTCAGCACAGTGATTATAACGGATAATACTGTATCTCATATACCTCAATGGTGCGTTGAGAGTAGGTCTTAAATGTTCTCACCACAAATAAGAAATGACAGTTACACGGCTATGCTGGGAATCCGTTTGAGATCTATAGATGTATCAAATCAACGTGTTGCATAACTTAAACTTACACGATGTTATTTGTTGATTATATCTCAATAAAGCTGGAAGACATTTCAAAATAATATAATGTAACCCCAAAAAGCTCCCCCAGTGATTCTAACATATAGCTAAACTTGAAAGCCATGGTTTTCGAAGTGTGGTTTCTGGACCACATCAGCATCCCCTGGGAACCTGATAGGCATGCCAATTCTCAGGCCCCCAAATTGGACCTACTGAATGGGAAATGCAGGATTTAACAAGCTCTCCAGCTGATTCTGATTCATGCAAAAATCTGAGCATCACCGCATTAGAGCGTAGACTTCATATCATTTCCTATCATTTTGAAACCAGAGACCCTTGGATCTCTAATCAAGCACATTGTCTTCTGTACCAGACTTTTCACCAACCAAGGCAATTCCTAAGCAGAGTCACCCCTTATAACTCTGGGTCTCCTTTCACAAAGTAGCTCTCTCTGCATTTCAAGTAGTGGCCGCAGCTGCCTGGCTTCCCTCACTCTGCTGGGTCCTGTTTTTCTCAGGCAGCCCCCATGCTGTCCTCTCTAACATATTCCCGAGAGTGGAATGATAGGTTGATACAGGAGAGCTAACATCCTTTAAATCCGCCCCCATTTCACCTTACCTTCTAGATTCAATCTTCAACAGTATACTCCCAGCATTTCCTCTCCGATTGTCATGATTCCTTCTTATCCTTCACATTTGACTCCCAAAAGCCCAGTGACTTAAGGCTAGAGCTTCCATCTGGCCATCATGTTCCCAGTCATAACGAGTGGATCTAAACCTCCAAGGTCCTAATGATAGCATCCAGTTTCATTTTTCTGTTCTCACCCATTTTCATGATGACGATGTATGAAAGATGATAGAGCAGCCTCGTGGGGCAAAGTTGGCTGTGGCGACGCATCTGCGGGCTCAAAGCCTGCACTCCTCATTTGCGAGCTTCGCTCCGTGCAATGATCTCGTTTTTGTGTGTGAACTAATAGGGACTTAAGGACCCCAGTGCAGTTTCCTAAAAGCCATGGAAGACCCTCTCTACTGCCCCTAGAATTGCGTGAGGGGATTAGAGGCTCCTTCACATCTCCCTTGTCAGCCCCCAATACCTCCCGATCTTGCATCCCCCCACCGCTGCATAGAAGCTGTTATAATTCCTCTGCAGAATCCTGACTTCAAAATACCTAGGCTCCGCATGCTTTCTCTCTCCATACATCTAGCAAGAGAAGACTGATAATAGAGGACACCAAGACTCTGTTGGAAGAGTAAACAACAGAAAGTCTCCGGAGCTCCTTGAGAAGGGGAGGCGTCTGAAGGGAGGGATGCTCAGAGACCTTTATTTTGGATATGATATTCCATACGAATGGGAGCAAGAAGAGGCCGGAGTCAGAGATCGGCTCGTTCATTCAATAAATATTTATGGAGTGCTTACTGCTGCTAGGGACACAACCCTAAACACGCCATGCTTCCCGATTCAAGGAATTCACATTCCAGGGAGGAGGTGAAGGATGTGTATGGATACAACCGGAATACAATATGACAAGGGCCACGACGAAGTGCTGGGGGAAATCAGGACAGGAGTTCCTAATCTGATCTGGGGCGGCGGAGAGGGAGGGTGTTACCTACACACCTGGCAGGATGTAGCCAAGTGATGGATGGAGGCAGAGGGCAAAGAGAGCCGTGAATAAATACAGCCAGTTGGCAACTGCTGGCCAGATCGCACTGGCTTGGGAGCACTCAAGTCAGAACAGTTGGAGTCATCCTTGGCATCTCTTTCTCTCACATTCCTCACGTCTGATCCATCACTAAGCCCTGCCACGGCAACCATCCGAAAGCCTCCCAAGTCTCTTCACTACCCTCCCGTCTCGCTGGGCTACTGTGGTCACCTTGTACCTGGCTTCCCACACGCCTCCCCTGCTCCATCCGGTCTGTTCTGCTCACAACGCTTTGGGGAATCTTTTCAAAACTCAAATTGGACTGTGTACCCTTCCTGCTAAAAACCCTTAGATAGCCTCCTACTCTATTTCAGATAAATCTCATTAATTTGCCCAGGAAAACCTACCCAGCTTCATTTTAGACCCTCTCCTCCTGTTCTCCATGCTCCAACCACAAGAGTCTTCTTTTCACTCCGGGGGGAAGCCAAGTTCTCTGTGTGGATGCCTTGCTCCCAATTCCTTGCCTGGCTAACTTAGACTCGTCTTTCAGATCTCAGCACCCTTATCTGCATGAGTTTGTCCCTTAGTGAGGGAGGTCTTCTCTAGCTGTGGTTACCCCAGTGAACCACACGAGGTGGCGTTCGCACCCTTGGGTAGCCTTTCCCCACAATGACGTATTGCGTATTTTGGTCAACAGTCTCAGCCGAGC